CCGGAGCCGAGGTAGAATATGTGACATGTAGTCACAGTAACTAGAACCGAAGTAAAACATGTGTCTCTGTGGTCGGAGCCGAAGTAAAACACTGTCAGTTTAAAAGTGTAATTGTATAAGTAAACAAAAGTGCTGAGCTAGGCTTAAATATAAAAATGGGAATCAAAATGGTCGGAGCCATAATAATAAAATATAATGACTGGAGTCATAATGGCCGGAGCCGAAATAAAATGTGTGATACAGGATCACTGTGGCCGAAGTCGATGTGAAATGTAATGCAGCATTATTGTGGCCGGAGCCGAAGTGAAACACTTGACAAAATTGAGAAAAGTAAACAAAGGTGTAGAAATGGTCGTGAGTGGGTTCGTTCTGAAAAATCTGACAAAGGGGTAACACGTGGTGTGACAGTTGTCCTTGAAGTGACGTGCGCAATAAATGCGACTGTAAAAAGATAACTGCGATAGTTAAACAGGCGAATTAAAAAACGAACCGTCAAGTTCCAAACGGTACCGTTTGGGATTGCCCATTGAATTCCAAACGGTGTCAACAGTGACCGTAAGATTAAACGAATCTCAGCCGTTGAGATCTAATTTTGCCTAGAAGTATAAATAGGCATTTTTTCTGCAGAAAAAAGGTTTATTTGCATTTCTTTTCTTGCAAAACTTCTGCTAGAAGCTTTACTTGTGCGTTTCCTGTGCGTAAACTGCAGCATCAACTGGGGAACTCTAAATCAAGTCTTTTGAAACCGAAATCAGGTAATGTAGACGGAACTCTGATTTTAAGTTAATTGAAGTGTCATTCTCCTTTCTCCCTTTCTGTGATTGATTTAGAGTTCTTTGAAGGAAGTTAGGGTTAGAGATGAGAGGGATTTTGAATGTGTAATAGAGGTTTTTTATTTTTTTTAAATGGGTCCTAACTTCATTCCTCCCCCCTACCTCGTGCAGAGTTTGAGAAAATGTCCGTAGAAGGAACTGAAAGTGTGATTGGGAGTGAGGTGATGCCTTTAGACTATGGGGGTATGGACTCAGAGAGCAGTCCATCTCCATCTAGTTCGGAGAAGACGGTGGAGGGGATGAGAGAGGATGAGGTGGTAGAGGTTGGGAGGAACGAGGTGGTAGGGGTTGAGGGAGATAGCATACCCATTACGGTAGTAGAAGTAGAGGGTAGAGGGGAGAGGGATTATGATGAGAATGCAGAGATAGTGGAGGAGGTGAAACAGTACCGATCTGAACTAAGGACCAGGGATAGCCTGGGTCACTTAGTAGAAAATTACGAAATCTCGTCCCGAGTGCTAGTTAGGCCAGCTGGGGTAGAGGAGAGGGCATGCTCTGCTCCTCGGGATCATTGGATGCCCGTATACTCCTATTATTTGTATGCTGGCCTTAAGTTTCCAATTCCGGAGTTGCTTGTAGGTTTACTATTAAATTACAACATATGGTTGACACAGTTGGTCCCCAACGCAATGAGGGTAATAATAGGTTTTTTAGTTTATTGCCGAGCTTAGGGGATTAGTGTACCAACTGTGAATATGTTTAAATACTTTTTTTGTTTTAAAGGGAGGAAGTAGGAGGGATAAGGGGTGGTATTATTTCACCCCTAGGGTAGCTAAGAAGGAGAGTAGGATTTTATTCACTGCGGATCCTTCATCCATTAAGGGATGGAAGGAAAAATTCTTTTTTATGGATGACACGGAGTGGGGTAAGGAGGATACCGAGGTGAGGGCGTTAGCCTCCTGGAAGGCCAAAAGGGCCAACCAGAATAGGTTTAGTTTAAATGAGGATGAGGAGGAAGAAGTGGGGAAGTTGGTGAGGAAGGGGGGAGATGTGTTGAACATCATGGACCTCACCAGCACAGCATGCATAGAGGCTGCTGAGCTCTATGGGCCAAGCGCTCTGAGTGAAGGTTTATTTATCATGCACTGTAGCGTTAAATGTAGAATATAAAATTGTGACTAACATTGTGTTTCTTGCTTTGCAGCTGAAATGGACCAGTTTTTGAACACTGCTGGAGGAGCGCCCATCCCCAAGAAGCCAAGGAAGAAGTCAAAGACTTCAACCAAGAAAGTGGATGAGGGGAGGACCGGGAAGGAGGTAGTGCCCGTGGCTTCAGCTGAGACGGAGGAGAAGGTGCTAACGCTGAAGAGGAAGGGTTGGGAGGAGAGGAGGGCACTGCAGAAGAAACAGAAAGTGGTGGAGGAGGAAGAGGGGAATGGGGTTCCTGAGTTCGTACCTCAGCCTCCTCCTGTTGAGCTGAACCCTGAGCTCAGACGGTTGGAGAAGGGGGCTGAGGTACGGGCTCCTGGTAAGGGAAAGGGCCCTGTTTCCCCAGTGGTGCCTCAGAGCAGCCTGTTCGAGGGAAATAACGTAATGGGGGCTAGGTGGTTCATCAACAGCACCTTCCCCGAAGTGGACAAGCGCAACGCGCGGGAGGAAGCTCTGAGGTA